GTGGAAGCGCCTGGAGGGGAGGGGCTGTTGGGGGCAAATCCCTGGGACATCCTGGCCGGCAGAGGACCCGGAGATGCCCTTGGACCCCTTGCGCTTAGCCGCAGCCCTAGACTGCTCCTGGACAGGGAGGCTCTCGAGAGCGACGGAGGCTCAAGCTCTTGGAAGACCAAAGGGTTTCCCGGCATCTTCTCAGGAAGCCACAGAGAAGCCTCTGGGTGAAAAATCGGCCGGCCCCAAATCTCCTGCCCCTCAGAGCCCAAAAGGAAAAAGAAGGCTAATACTTTAATAAGGTACAAAAATAATATGGCCAAGGAGGTGGATCAGTCTATGCAAGTTCACATCAAGATATATCAGTCAGTCTTTAAGATGCCCTGGGTTTGTCTTTTTAAAATCATCATCATCATCATCATCATCATCATCATCATCATCATCATCATCATCATCATCATCATCATCATCATGGTCTTTATTCCCCTTTTGCCTCTTAGGTGTTCCCCCCACAAACCCAAATTGCCTTCCACTCGGCCCCCTTTCTTCCCCCAATTTTTTCGCAGATGGACCCCCTCCTCCTCCAATAACTCCCCCCCCTCGTGCCTCCAGAGCCAATTATTTGGCCCCACGAGCGGCTCGTGGGAGGCCTTTTCGTAGCCTCTTCGCTGGCTCTGGCCGTGGCTTCCATTGGGCCCTCCCAGCGCCTCGGGTGGGTTTCCCGCCTCACCGGAAAGGCCAGCCTTTCCCTCCCGGGACCCTTTCGGAGCCCCCCCCAGTCTCGTGAACCTTACCTTTAACAAGAGGTGATACTTCAGCACCCGCTGCATTGGGACCACCAGCAGGTCCTGCAGCTTGAACTTCCCGTCTTGAACCTTCAAGGTACATTCCTTAAAGGGGGGGGGAGAGAGAAAAGTTAGGAAAAAAGGAACACATTTGCACCACTCCTTTCAAATCAGGTTTCCTCCCTGACGCTCACACCCACACCCCACGAAGAACACATGGTGTGCAGAGGAAAATCACACCACGGACAACCACCGCCCCCCCCACCCCGGTTACCTCGACTTTTTGCCGCACATCCTCACGGTTGGCCATGAGCTGGTTCAGGGTGGTCTGCGCATGCTCCATGCGGCTGCAGTATTCGCCGTAGATCAAGAGCCTATGAAAAAAGCAGAGTGGGCGGGAGAGGGGGGAGTCAGCCTGTCAGCCAGAGGCATGAGGAGGGGACGGGCCCCCTCAGAGGGCGCCGGACAGGCGAGGGCCCCACCGGTCCTTTCGAAGCGTCCTCGGCTCTCACAACAAAGGATGCTCAATTTTGCCAAAGGATGCAAATCTTCCCCAATGTGGTTCCAACATTTTCTGCCCTGTGGGGCAATATTGTCTCTTTCTTCCTTTTTTTCTTTTTGGCATTTCAGCACTCCCCGACCCCCAGAAAGTGCTGGAGATGGTTTGTCAAGGCCCTGATCTTTTCACTCTCGTCATCCAGGCCCCCACCCTGTTCTGCCCCCCCCCTTTTCCTTTACCTTTCTTTGAATTCGAGGAAGACTTTGGCCAAGCTGCCCCCTCCAGACATCATGGAGACATCAATGGCTCTCAGGAAACTGAAGTGCACTTTGATAAGGTCCTAAAACGAAAGGAAGCAGGTGAGACGTTCCAGCCCCAAACCTCCTTCCTGGTCATTACCTGTGGGGAAGACAGGGAACCCCCTTCATTGAACTTCATTGGAGTACCTCCAAGTTGATAAAAATGGCTTCCATGTCTTGCGGCGTGAGGAGCAGCCTCAAGGGGTTCATGTAGTTCTGCAGAAGGAAAGCAGGAACAAAATTATTATTATTGCTTTCCCTTCACGAGGTCCAGAGAGGAGATCTCCCAAGGACCCTCCAGGTCTTCCATCTCCAGCCTTGGTGGAATGTTAATGCCTCCAATGCACACGCTCTCCGAAGAGGCCTCAGGACCCGACCGTGCCTGGGGGGGGGGTGGTGGACCAGGGCAGCGGAGAGCCTGTGGGTGCCCGCCGGAAATGGCGCCAACCTTTCACTGGCATGGGCTATGGAACCACCCATTCCACGGCTGCACGATGGCCTCTTTGTGATGATAGAAATTCCTGAGCACCCCCAACCAAGTCCAGAACGCCTTCCCCTCCCCCCCCCGGAAGGCGATCCCTGGGCCAAAGAGGTGCCTGCCCTTCCTCTCCAGCCCAAACTCTGCCTGCCTCCCGGGCACCCCGAACGGGCTGGCCGGCTTCGCCCTCGGCCTTCCTTGCCTGCCCTCCGAGCTCTCGTCTCCCCCCAGCCAGGCTCTGGGCCCCCCAAGGACAGGGCTCAGGCACGGGGCATGCTGACGGGAGAGCGCAGATTTCACACAAACCCCCCCCCGCAAGGTGGGAGATGGGGTGGCCCCTGCCTGACCCACACCTTCTCTATGTCTTCCAACGTCTTGTAGTATTTAGCCTCCGTTTCCTGAATTTCCAGCAAACAGCAGTTTCTCTTGTCATCTTCCGTCATGCCCATTTTCTAAAGAGAGGAAGAGAAAAGCCAGGGAAAAGGGCATTGTAAGAAAAGGACTGTGTTCGTCCGGGGCGGGTCAGAGTTTGACCAAGTGGAAAGCGGGCGTGTGTGTGTCCCCGGTGAGATCCTCCCTCCGATGCGCTTCACGTAAGGGACCCTCGTCCTTTGGCCGCATTGCTGAGGGGTGGGGAGGGAAAGGTGCAGGCGCGACACAGGCCCCTCGGTCTCTACCCCATGGAGCACACGGGGGCTCTGGGGTTTCGTGTGTGTGTGACTGAGACGAGGCTAAGCAGCTCCCAGCCCGGCGGCTGCTTCTCCAGTCCAAATCGGGTGTCTGGCACGGCAACCGGAGGAGGAAGCTTTGTGGGGGAAGGGGCCGGGGCGCAGGGAGGCGACCTTTCAGAAGCCCTCCAAACAGAAGGAGGTCACTGGCTGCAAAACACTCATGTTGGTTGGTGTTTCGGTCGACACGGTGGCACGAGGGGGCCCCTTTGTGCATGCACGAGGGAGCCTGAGACGGATGGGGCAGGAGCACGTTCTGTGCAGAAGCGGCCCCTAAGCCAGGCGTACGTCGACCAACCTCTGGGAGCTGACAGCGAACGGCCTTCAGCACCGAGGTCGGTCATCCGGCCATGAAGGAGCCTCACGTCCCTCAACAACATCACAGACATCCCTTCCAAACACAGTGTTCGTCCCAGAACTTGGGCACCTTCACACCCTATTTTTTTCCTTTAGGCCTAAGGCAGGTTTATCTTTCAGAGCTGAGCTGAGCTGGGGGGGGCACTGAGGGGGCTGCATCTTGGCACACACCTGTGAGCTTTCTCGCCCCCAGAGGGAAATCCCTGCCCACCCCCCGCCGGGCACTTACCTGCATGTATCTGATCTGAAGCATGGGGGGGGGGAGGACAAGAAGCAAAGTGCACCCTGGTTACATCTTTGGCAACATGTAAGGTTTCTTCACGCACACACAGACACAGACACACACACACACATGCACACAAACACTTTTTTTTTTTTTAAAAAAAAAGAAAAACCAATTCACTGTATGGCGGAGAAAAGGCTCTTAGGAGAGCAGATTGCCCGTCTCATGGGGGAGTCACACTGCTCCGACCCCAAAAGGAATCCGGGGTCCACCACCCACCCTCTCCCTCTACGCCCACTATCCTTCCCCCCACCCACCCAGCCACCCCTATCATCTCCTCCGCCCCCCACATGTCTCACCATCGGCTGCTGGACTTCCACCTTGATGATGTCCTCGTAGATGTCGTCCCCTTCATCTTCACACGGGACACAGTCGTAAATGTCCTCCCCCAGGTCGTGCTCGCTGGAACAAAAACAGACCCGCTTGAAAATTCCCCTGTATTTTCTCCCTTTTTATTCCACCTCTTCTCCAGGGAAGTGGGTCTCCTCTTAGGTTTGAAGAAGTGGCCCAAGAAGGTCCACGGATGCTCCCATTGAAATGCAGCAGTGAATCCTTCAGGAGCCCCCATGTTGTTGTTTTTTGTCTTTCCCCCCTTTTTCCCTTTTTTGCCCTGACAGGCTTCCACAGACGCACACGGCCACCTCTTCAAAGGCCTCTGGGCCCTGCTTCCCTTCAGCCCGCCCTCAGCACCAGAACCCTAAGGGGCAGCTGCTCTTTGCTAGACATGAGACTTACTCAGCCAGCTCCTCGAGGCTCCGATAGACGTCGTCATCATTCTCTGTGGTCTCCTCTGAAGGAAATGGCCTGGGAGGGAAGGAGAGAAAAGGACGGTCCGTTAACGAGGACAGCTGGGAAGGAGCTTGCCGGGAAAGCTGCTCAGAGAAGTGGGAGTCTTGGTGGACTCAAGAAAGGAAGCCACTGCCTTCCACTTGCAAGACCTAAGCAGGGACGTTAAGGACTAGGATGTTTTGGAGGCCATCAACTCACAAGGTGGCCAACAAGAGGACGTCCGGGGTCCCCTCGGGCCAAGCCCTGCCTCCGTTCTTACCACCCAAACATCATCAAAGCCCTGAAGCATCTGAACACATCTGCCTGCAGGGTGCACAGAGGAAGGGAGGCAGGGAGGGAGGGAGAGAGGCTGACTCCCAGTTTGCTGATGGTGACCGTTACGTTAAGCCAAAAGAAAAAAGAAAAGAAAACGTGTGTGTGTGTGTGTGTGTGTGTGTGTGGGTGTGTGTGTGTTTGTGTGTATGTGTGTGAGAGGGGCATATCAAGGGTCTTGACATTGGGGCTCAAGGAAGGTCTTCACGCCAGGCATACGCAGACCCCCTCCCCCAGGATCGACCACAGATTTAGCCCTCGCTTCGGGGTGCCAAGAGCATCTCTCCACTGCCCGGGGCATGGCTGTCCGGCCAGCTCCCTCAGGTGAGTCTGGCAGGGCAGGTGGCTCTCCTCCCTTCAATCCCAAAGGCTGAGCTGCTGGGTGGAAATGGCGGAAGAGGCAATGGGCGGGCGGGGGGGGGGGGGGGGGGGGGGAAGGCTCCCTGCTGTGTGAAAAAGAGCATTCAAGCCCTGTCCATCCATCACACTCTCGGGCAGACAAACACGGCGGCAGCTGCCTTTCAATAATTGAGGACTTGTTTCCTGATGCTGCCTCCCAATCGCCCAATCGAGAGAGGCCTCCAGGGCAAAGCCAGGCTCTTACTACGTTGTCTCGCTTCAGAGAAGGGCTCACAACTGTCAAACCAGGCGCAGGAAGCGGCCAAAACGCAGGCAGCTCCCTCCCTCTCACCCCCCCCCTTGCAAATCACCCTGGAGCTTTTCTTTGGCTAACGAGCCAGAGAGGAGGATCTTCTTTTCAGGACCATGCAGGAGCTCTTGAGGATGCCTTGCTTCCGACATCCCCCCCCCCCGAACCAGGAAGGAACCACCGGCAGGGCTGAGGCTGTGCCAGGAGCTGTGGGTCCTTCCCCCAAAGAGTGGGGTGGGGCTGGGGGTGGGAAGGCTGTCTGCTCCCTGCCTCAGAGCTGGCTGCAAACCCTTCCCTTTTCCATGTAAAAGATCAATCGTTTGCTTTGCAGGCAGCTCCCTTAGGACATCAAGGCAGGATCTGTTTCAGGACCAAATGAGATGACACGCTGAGCTTGTATCTGGAAGCATTGCTGCCCCAAGGGAGGAAAAACATCTAACTACAAAAGCATATGAAGAGCAAAAACGTGATTGACAACTATAATGCAAGCACAACCTTCCTGCGCATGTTCTGATTCTTGAGGCAGGAGTAACTGAAGCAGCCACAGAACTGGAGAGAAAATTTTGCACGGACGTCGTCCTTCAGCATCTCTTGACATGAAGCTCCCCAGAGCGAAGGCAAGAGAAGAAGGGCTCGGGGCACATTCTGTGTCCGGATCCAGGGTAAAACTCTTGTCCTTGGGCATCCAGAACTTTCCAGGCTTTGGGCTGAGAGATCTGCAGAGATGCCAAACCCGGGGGGGGGTTTGCATCCCCAGGGAGGGTCCACACCCCCACAGGGGCCAGCAAGGCAGAAGGAGCCTCGGCAAGCCTTGGGCTTTTTGCAAAAAGTGGCTGCCCAAGGCCAAGCGCAGTCTGCAGAAGCGGGGCTGGGAAATGGCTGGGTGCATCGATCCCCACCCTTCTTCTTCTTCTTCTTCTTCTGCAAAAAGCTTTTAAAGAGGAGCAAAACCTTGCTGGCCGTTTGGGAATCCCATCTTCATTGAGCGCGATTTCCGAGCAGCCACGTCGGTTGGCATCCTGGGTCTGCTGCCTGTCACTAAGCATCGCTGTTCCCTGCGAGATGTGCCGCCATATGGCCTCAAAGGGAGACAGGGAGGGAGCGCTGGGTCGGCTGACCTCCAGCCCGGGGGGGACGTGGCACAGGCACCTCCAACGCAGGACCTCCAGCACGCGCGCACACCCACCCACCGCTCCCCCGAATTTGTGATCTGACGGCTCGGCTCCATCAACAGAAGTACCGTGTCCAGAGAAACGGGGCCGCTTCGTCCTGCTTTGGTCACGCGGGCTCCAGTTCTGGGGCCACCACCGTTTCAGGAGGAGACCAACCAGCTGGAAGGTGTCCGGCGGACGGGAGGGACCGGGAGGGAGAAAGGTCTGGGAGCCACGTCCTGCGAAGAGCGGTAGAGGGAACTGGGTGCGTTGAGCCTGGAGGGGAGAAGGCAGAGGGGCCACACGGAGCGCCACTCGCCAACATCTGCCGAAGGGCTGCCGAAGGGGAGACGGACCACGTCTGTCGCGGGCAGCTCCAGAGATCAGGGACTGCAACGTAAAGTAATCTGCATCTTGGTCAAGGAGACCTCAGGTGAAACATGGGGAGGCACGTTGCGCTGTTCAGCAATGGAAGGGACTGCCAGGAAAGATCACGGGAGCGTTTGAAACAGGAGCGGTGGGACGGCTCTGCCGGTCAGGGATGCTCAGGTGGTGCGCTTCCGCTTTTTCTGGGGGCTGGACGGCTCAATGACCCTTGGGATTCCTCTCCAGCCCTACAATTCTGGGGCTCTGTGGGTCTTTCAGGCTCACCAAAGCACAGCTGTTCCCAGCGCGCCGCCCAATTGAGAACCCCCCCCTCTCTATCGCCCCCCCCAAGAGCGACATCTCCTCTTCAGCACGCCCTTCCGGCCGCCTCGCTGGCTCAAACGCAACCAGGTCCAAGGCCAACAAATTGACCGGATTCTTCTTTAAAAGGCCACCAAAATCTCTTAGGGGGAAAAAAAAACCCCACACCTCTTTCGTGCCCTGCCCAGAATCTCGGACGCTTTCACTGCCGAGGGAGTGAAACGTTTACTCCACATGTCGACAAAATCTCGAGAAGTCTGCCACATTTCCACGGCTCAGCCAACGGGACGGCCTCTTCTGACAGCTGCTTTTGGCATACGCGGCAAGAATTCTAAAAAAGACAAAACTGACGTCTCCGCCATGAAGCTCAAAACCCATTAAGCATCTGCACTTGCTTCTAATTAGCCAAACAAGCTCCCCTCTGTAATTAAAGGCATCGGGTCGCCGTTCGCAGCCAGCCCCCGTCTGTTCGCCTCCAGTGAATATTAATTCTGCCACGATTGAAGGGAGCCAGCTGGGCCAGCCTGATTGGGCATGGGCCCGGGGGGTTGCTAGTGAGTCGGCCCCCCCATCCTGGACCCATTGATGAGAAGGACAACCCCCTCCCCTTTACGGAGAGAGAAGGTCTCCTATAAGAACTCTACAAAAGCAGTGTCTGAATCCAGAAGTCCTGGGGGAACTCTTTGCTGCCTTTATCACCTGGCCCCCTCCGGCCCCTCTCAAAGCCACTCGGGCTCCAGGAACCACCGGGAGCCGAAGGCCTCCCTCCTCTCTGGGCATTTTCCTGGCAGAATCCCCAGTTGGTGCCCATCGCTCCCGCTGCACCAGGAAAAAGAGAAAGGGGCTGTCCAGAGTTGGTCACCCTAAGACTGCAGGGGCAGGCAGCAGGCCATGGCCCTACAATGGCCAAGAGGCAACCCAGGGGTCAACGCTCTCCGAGGGAGGCAGGGAGGGAGGGAGGGGCAGCCGTCCCACACTCCCTCTGCCACGAACTGCAAAGGCGCAGCAAGACACTCCTCTGCCTGCTTAGGGGCTGGACCCGTTTATAGCAGGCCGGTCAAGCCAAAGGCCCCCTCCCACCGACCCATCCCAGCCTCCAGTGCAGCACGCTGCAATGCCCTTCTCCACCTGAAGAGGGCGATGGCCAGCAGGCAATCCTTGCCAACTTTTCCTCCGAACTATTCAGCTCCCCTCCCGATCCCCCGTTTCCTGGTTCAAGCTCTTGGGTTCGGTTACATACTGGAATGAATCTAGAGGTTCCGTGCACTGAGCCATCATCATAACTCTTCTCCCTACCAGCAGGCCGTATGCTATGTGGTGCTGATGCTGATGCCGCGTGTGGCTGCTTGTGCTCACTGGGGGCCAAAAACTGGCATGCTGGGGCCACCAGGACCCATCGCTCACTTCCAGAACGGCCCCACCTCCTACCACAGCAAAGGCTTGAGGACGGAGGGATCTTACACACAGACACAGACACGCACACATGCACATGCGTGCACACAGAGGCTCCCTTCCAGCGTGGGACGTCCAGCTGTGTCCATCTGTCCATCCCTTGAGCCAATTTTTCGGCTTTGTTTACTCGCAGGGGCAAGGAGCTGCCCTGGCCATTTTCAGCCCTGAAGTCACATCTTTTGAAGTTCGCAGCAAGAAGAGAGGATGTCACACTGCGGCAGTGACGGGCAAGCTGCTGCGCTGGGGTGAGGCCCCCGCTTCCCCCTCCCCGGCGGTCCTTTGAAGCTCTCTGGCCACAGATCCAAGGAGGCAGCGGGAGTGTTTATTCTTCCCAGGACGAAGGGCGAGGTTTTGCAAAGCACAGGCTTTTGGGGGGTCCAGAACAGCTCAGGCCGGTCCGTGCGGCAACTGCCACGGGGCCCTGTTGAAGCCGGCACTCGGCGAGTCGCTCAGTTGAGGGAGGAACGAGCCACAGGACTCTTCTCTCTCTCTCTCTCTCTCTCTCTCTCTGGGAGCAAAAGGAAACACGCCAGACTCCAAAAAGACCACCAGCCGCCGTGGGCTGTGCAGCCGGCGCTCCTGGGAAGGCCGTTTCCTCCGGTTCGACTCCCCAGTTCCACAGAGACACGCGCGGGTCTTCTTGGAAGGGGTGTGCACAAACCACGAGGTAGACTTCCAGGCGTTTTGGAAAATGGGCATTCAAATGAAACACCTGGCTCCCATCCTGCAGCTGGATTCCACTCCTGAGTCAGCCCTCTCACCCCCCCCAGGTGCAGGATTGGAGAGGGACGGGTGGCGCACCCCCCCCTCTTTCAGTCCGTCCCCCCCTCTGCCCCCCCAAACCTTCCCCTTCCTTAGGGAGACACGAAGGGGAGGCAGGAGAAGACCCTCGTCCGCTGAAAGGCGGCTGCGCCAGCTTGGGCATCGCAGGTTTTAACTTCTTACCGAATTCCTTTGTTCTGAGCGATGCTGTGGTGGGAAAGCCTGGAGACGGCGGACTCGACCTGGGGAAGAGAGAGAGAGAGAGAGAGAGGCAGCCGTGGGTCAGGAGCACCGTCCCCATTTTACAAAAACCCGTCCCTTTCTGACCCACCTCCATGCCCCGGGCCCAGCCAGTGCCCCTCAGAGGCCACCCACAGCCGTGGAACCTCTCTCAGCCCCACAGGGAGGCCCTTCCCAGATCAGGGTGTGTGTGTGTTCTTTCTCGCCCATTGGAATTGGGCAAAGGGGGTGAGGGGGTGGGTGTGCGTGAAAAGTCCGCCACTTGCGGATGATGGAGAAGAGGCCAAAGAGACCCGCTTTGGAGCCGAGTTAAACGCACGCCTTAACATGGGGCCCCTTCCTCCCAGGGACAACCTGCCCGAAGGCGTCTCAGGCAAAAGAGAAAGTGTCAGGGAGAGATGGTTGCCTGGCCCCGCTCTGTGGTGTCCACTCACTGGTCATCCCCTCTCTGGTCACTCACGCCATCCCCCCCAGAGTCCAGAAGAGGGAAAAAAAAGTCACTTTGCTGTTTTCACGAGACCAGCTCAGGAGCCATCTTGCTGGTTGGCTGGGCTTGGTGCCGAAACCTGAGGTCCGCCCTCTCTGTCCGGTTCAGCTGTGTTCCCTAGATCAGTGGTTCCCTGGCCTTGGGCCTCCAGATGTTCTTGGGCTTCAACTCCCAGAAATCCTGGCCAGCAGAGGTGGTGGTGAAGGCTTCTGGGAGTTGTAGTCCAAGAGCATCCATCATCCTATTCCGAGAGGGATTCCCTCAGAGGGATCGGAGAGAAGGAGGAATGGAAACAGAGTGAGACAGACAGACAAGGATCCTTGTAAGAAGTGGGCACCCAGTCGTCCTCTGCCTGTTGGGTATCCTCGTGCTAAGAGTGATGGGTCGTGCCTGTTTGCTGCCTTGGGCATTTCCCCATCAATCCCAAATGGACCCAGCAAAGCGAGCAGACATCCCGGCCCTAACAAGGACTGCCTGGGAAGTGCACCATCCTGGGAAGGAGGGCCCGTCTCCTCAGCAAAGCCCCTGCCTAAAGGCCGTGAGCGTGTGGTGGAAGTGGAGACGCAGGCAAAAGGGTCGCCGGGCACCCTCGCTCCGTTCTCCACCCCGCTGCCGTGACTGTGATCGGGGCTGACACATGGCGCGGCTGCTGCAGATGATGACCGACAGTCACACGCACAAACTGACCCCACTGCTGCAACCGGTGGGGAGGGAGAGGAAGGGACCGGCCCTCCGACAGGCCCAGCGAGCGAGGCTCTCGCCACTCAAGGTGGAGGACTCGGAACGTGGCAGGCTGCGCGGGCGCCCACGGAGCAGCTTCAGCACAGCTGGGCAAAGGGATTCTCTGGAGCCGCAGGGGTGAAGCCAAGAGGCCAGCTTCCACCGGTGGATTGGTCTCCAATCCTGGTCAGACCTTTTGAGCTATGAAAGTCAAACACAATGCTCTCCCTGCCCCCTTTGTGTGTATGTGTGTGTGTGTGTGTGTGTGTGTGCGTGCGTGTGTGTGTGTGTGTGTGAGAGAGAGAGAGAGAGAGGAGTTTGATCTTAGACAATTAGCTTATCTCTGCGGGTGTGAGCAGTTGGAGCAAAAGGCTCATTTCCACCTGGGAAGAAAGCACAGAGATATTTTCTTTCCCCATCGCCTCTGACAGGGCCAAAGGAAATAAATAAATTACAACCCATGCTTCATTAATATTTCAGACCCTCAGCAGGGATCAGAGCCAAGGAGCACGGCAGCGCGGCCGGTCCTGCCAGCCAGAGGCAACGGCTCAGCCCTGAGCGGTTCCTCAGAGAAAGCTGAAAGAGGCCATTATGAAGACGCTGCTTCCATTTCATGGCGCTCTCAAAATACGCGTGATGCCGGACACAGCAGGGGCGCTGGCCATTTCACAAAGCCAACCACCCTGGAAACCGAATCCAGAAGCAGCCGGGCAGCCTCCTCTCCTACTGGAAAAGCCCCAAATGTTTGGGGACTGCTCGGCCACCCGAAAAAACGTGAACCATCAGAGCTAATATGCGGAGTGGAAATGGGGAAGGAACCTGGGGTGGCAGGTCTGAGCCCTCTTTTAATTCTGCCCACACAGGCAATAATTAACAGAATAAAATGATAACGAGGACAACAACGCAGTTTGAAGTACGACAGGCCTGATCATCAGCTGGAAAAGAGAGCGAGAGGAAGGAAGAAAGAGCAGCTAAGCAGGAAAGGCTCAACGCCTTCCCATCAAGGGCCCCATCCAAGCTTTGGCTAACCATCCCAGTTCCCCCAGATTAAAAGCAAGAAACAGGAGAGAGAGAGAGAGAGAGGACAGGAGAGTGGGAGAGGTCCTGCACCCACAGGGCCTGCCCTATGATGTGGGGCCACCCCACACAAGGGCGAGGAGCACCATAAAACGGGGAGACGTGGGTGCAAACATGTCTGCTCAGGCATTCAAGCAGCAGGGCTAAAATCTAACTGATTTTTAAAATCTCTTCTGTTGTTCATCATTTTGGGAGTCTTGATGGGCCAGAAAGCCATGGGGGGGAAAAAGACTCTACATAAATAAATAAACTCATGTGCCCCCTGGAGAAAAAACTTACGGATGCTCTCTGCCGTGATCCGTTGGCAGTAGCCGGCATGTGTTGGCTGGCAAGCCAGCTTTTTTCATCTTCCACTCCTCCTCCGCAGCCCTGGGGCTGCCCCCCCAGCTGTTTAAAACAGCCCTGCCATGCCTGCGTTAATTAGTCGAACCACCCCACCCTCTCCAGTCCCCCCCCTCCCGCAGCCGCCTGTAGAGGACGCCTGAATCACGACACGACAGCCCACTTACGCTGGATCCATTATTAATGCCCTCTTCATCCTGTCGGTGGCAAACACAGAAACCCCCTCCCTCGGATGGCCCATAACACGTGTAGGGAAACCGCAGGGAGCCGGTCCTCCTTCAAAACCCATGGCTCCAGGCAGCTGGAAGGCACCGGAGTTTTCCTGCCTCGGTGTGCCATCTTGACGCCACGGTGCGCTGTGAGGAGCGTTAACCTTCCTCTGGCCCTGAAGGCCCATCATCCACTGCAAAGGAAGCGATGGCCCAGAACGCTGCTGTGTGTTGGCTGCCTTCCTGTTGAGGAGCAAGGCCTTTCCTCCTGCCCTGGGCAGAAAAGGGAGTCCCAGCGGCGGTGGCACCCTTATGCTCTGAGGGGTGGGGGTGGGTGGGGGTCATTCGGCTCCCAAATGGGCCTGCTAGTTAACGTCACCCTGGGGAGAAGGTCAGTCTCCGAGGACCCATCAGGCACAAGACTCTGAAGGGACAAACCGATTCGGCCTCTCCCAATGAAAACGAGCCTCCCACCCCCCCCCCCCCCGTTAGGCAGAAGATGCTGGAAAAAGGTCCTTATTTTTACAAACCAGAAAAGAAGAGCTGGCAAAAGGTGAAACCCCCTCAGGCGGACGGCTTAAGACAGACGGTCCACCAACCTTTTTTATCACAGTTCAAAGCGTCGGTGTCAGGCCACATTAGGGGGCTCGGTGAGGCGTTATGGGGACAAGCGATTACTCGTGTCTAGGATAATAAGGGTGAGGGTCCTCCTTAACGGGCGCCAGGTGCCTGGAAGGTTTTTCCAGATGAGAGCATCTCTGCCCCCCAGGGACGAGGAGGAGGAGGGGGGGGAAACGCTCTCACACCTGCACCAGGGGAGACGAAGGCCTGCAGGAAAAGCCGCCAGCGATTTGGGCCAGGACAAACCTTGTTCGGTTGCTCCCCACCTCAAGGGGGTTCAGAAGGCCGGTGTGAGGCCACGGCCGGGCCTTCCCATCTGTTATTAGCCGGCTTGTTCCTGTCTTAGCCTCTCCCACCCAATCTGGTGTCACGTCCGATTTCTCCTGGCCTCCTGAGCGGCCGCTGAATCCTTGGGATCTGGGTGACACGTTTAACAAGGCATAACTGGATCTCCCGCAGCCAGCCGCTGCACCACAAACCACCCCATTACTCCCCCCCCTCAAAAACACACACACAACTATTATTAACTGGATTTATGGAAACAGATGGAACGCATGCAGGCCCAGCCAGCAGAGAACACAGTGTGGAAGAGCTACTTCCCTGAAAGCAGCTTAAACCTGCCTTGCATTTAATCCCTCCTGATCAAGGCCACGGGTGCCTGCAGGAAAGAGGAGAGACATTTCCCCTGCGGGCAAGATCCCCCAACCTTGGCACACTCTGGTGTCTGGGAAGGGGGGTGTCAATGTTTGGGGTACCCAGGAAGTTAACACCAGGAAGGAGGAGGAGAAGAAAAGCAGAGGCGGGGTACGAAATGGGACAATCTTAGAAAATGCTACTCCGGAGTGGGAAAAGGCGGCCATGAGCGAGCCCGGGAGACAGAGAATGCCTGGGTCGTCTTCAGCCTCCCTCTGCTCCCCTTTGCCACAGGAATTTCCGAGTCTGGGAAAGAGGAGGTGAGGAAAAGCCGGCCAGCCAACCAACTGCAGATGTTTGCAGAAAGGCCCAAGATCTGCAGGGCCACCAGATGAATCCTCCAGGAACTTAAGACACTGGCATGTTTGGGAGACCCCTCACTGCCTCTTCCTTGAAAGGGTAAAGCTAGCTCTTCAGGCCTGAAAATGTGGTGGGCTCAACGGACAGCTCTCCCCCCCGCCCCGACAGCTGCCTCAGCCTAAATAAAATAAGCATGAAAAGGTCCAGAGGGAAGGAAGGGCCGGGTTGTGGTGTCCTCTGTCTATTCTCCTCCTCGGAGCCACTGGGTTGTTTCCTTTCTCTTGTCTGTCGTTATGACAGATTAATACGCCGTTCCAACCAACCCACCCACAACTGCGTTTGAATATGTATTTCCCCGCAACAGTTGGCTTGCACGGGGCCCGAGAGGCGATGCAGCCTCCCCGACTTCTGTGCAGAGACCTTCCCTGATGCTTGTCCCTCCCTCCCCAAACTCCTGACCCCATTTCTCAACAACCAAATTTATTTCCTTTATAGAATTCTAAGTATACAACATAGAAAGATTTTGAAAGGAGGAGCAAAGGAAATTTGGCAAATATTCCTCTTAAATCTTTTT